GTGAGATCTCATCTCTGCAATAAATCAAAAAATTAGTCGGGCATGGTAACGCATGTCTGTAGTTTCAGCTACTTGGAAAGCTGAGGCAGAAGGATCACCTGAGCCCAGCAGGTCGAGGCTGTGGCCGTGAGCATGCCACTGCACTCTAGCCTGGGCGACAGAGTGAGATTCTGACTAATTTTTTAAAAAATCCTATGATTGTCCAGTTGCCTTCTGGTGTATTTCCAAGTAATAAACGAACAGATAATTATTGAGAATCCACCGGAGACAAAGTAGTGTACTATGAACTCTCTCTCTCACTGTGTGTGTGTGTGTGTGTGTGTGTGTGTGTGTGTGTGTGTGTGTGATGAACCCTCCAAGAGCTTAAAGTCTGGCTAGGAAGACAAGATGCATATGTATGAAGCAAGGACTATGATACAGCAGATACAATTGGGAGTTGACTGTGTGGGAATCAAGGGAGGGCAGAGAAGGAAGCCATTAGTGAGAGCTGCAGAAGTCAGAGGAAGCTTTGGATTGTGGGCAGAATGAGGATTGGACCTAAAAGATGGGTAAGGTTTGGATGGACTGGAAGAGAAGGAATATCAGGAGAATTGACCTGGGTGCACGTGTGGAAGCAATAAAAAAATATATGAAGGGGACCCCAAAATAACTGAAATCATCTTTTGGAGGGCAGGTCCCTTGTATTACAGGCTTGCCCCACTAGGTACGTGTTCTAGGAACCCATAAGCATCAGTGTACCAGCTAGTCTTGCTGTGACAGGCTGTGTTTGGCTTCAGTGAATTTTTTTTTTGGACATTCTTTTTACACATTTGCCCATTTCATGATGGGTGATTTATGAGCGCACATGCCTACACCACACGGGAGTGTTCAGCAGTTTTTGACCCAAAATGCCATGACTCCCATTTTTTCACTGCTCAAAAGTTTTTGAACTCATCACTTTGATACCTTTTAGTGCGTCTGCTGTTTTTTGTTTCGCCTCTTCCACGAAACCAAAATGTTTCCCTTTGAGGACTTTTGTCATGAGGGAAACCAAAAAAAAAAAAAAAAAAAGTCACTGAGATGAGATCAGGTGAATAGGGAGGGGCATGCTGCTATTGGTCAAAAACTGCGGAACACTCAGTTCAGTGTGGCCAGGTGCTCTTGTAAATCACCCATCATGAAATAGGCAAATGTGTGAAAGAATCTCAAAAAAAAGATTCAGAAGCCAAATAGAGTCTCTCACAACAATGCTAGCTGGAACACTGATGCTAATGGGTTCCTAGAACACTTACCTAGCCTGTATTACAAAGAGCCCACTCTATAAGGGGCTTACCCTTCAAAAAAAAAAATCTGGGTTTTTTGGGTCTCCCCTTGTAGTCTATTTATTTATTTAGTTTTGAGTTGGAGTTTAACTCTGTTACCCAAGCTGGAGTGCAATGGCATGCTCACAGCCACCTCAGCCTCAACCTGCTGGGCTCAGGCGAAACTTCCGCCTCAGTCTTCCAAGTAGCTGCAACTACAGGCATGTGACCCCATGTTTGGCTAATTTTTTGATTTATTGAAGAGACGAGGTCTTGCCATGTTGCCCAGGCTGATCTCAAACCCATGGGCTCAGGCAGTCCTCTTGCCTCAACCTCCCAATGTGCTGGGATTACAGGCATGAGCCACCGCTCCCGATTTGCACTCCTCATAAGAGTGATTTTTTTTTTTTTTGTCTGGGCAAGTTGGCTCATACCTATAATCCCGACACTTTGGGAGGGCAGATTGAGAGGATTGCCTGAGCTCACAGATTTGAGACCAGCCCGGGCAATTTGGCAAGACCTCATCTCTACAATGAATCAAAAAATTAGCCGGGTGTGGTGGCGCATGCCTGAAGCTCCAGCTACTTGGAAGGCTGAGGCAGAAGGCCAGCAGGTTGAGGCTGTGGTGGCTGTGTTTAAAGAAGTGATTTTTAAATATCTGTTTTAACTATTTCTTATTTTAAAATCCAATCCCAGAATTTTTTGTTCTGTAGGTAAGGCCATAAAATTCAATCCCAGAAATTTTTGTTCTATAGGTAAGGCCATACTGTATTGATTTTTTTCTCAAATGAATTTTTATATAACTTAAAAAGAATTATACAAGTAATGTATAATTAAATTTTTATATAACTTAAAAAAATTATACAAAGTAATGCATAATTAACTGAGAATAATTAGAAAAATCAGAAAAGCCAAAAATAAAAAATTACCTCAAATTCTACCCTTTTATGCAAAGAGAATTACTATTATCAATCATTTTAATGACTTTCCTGCCTGGTTGGCTGACTCTATCTATCTTTCTATCCACATATACATACACATACTTGATATTATTAAAATTACGGGATAGTTCACATACTGCTTTAATTTTTATTTAACATCATTCATTATGCAAAACATATTTCAATTCAAACACATTTGTTGAGCACTGACTATGTGATAAGCACTGTTCAAGTTTCCTGTGATTGATCAATGAATATGGAGCTTATATATTGTTTATGTCAACAAATATATATCAAACATCATTTGTTGGCATAGTGTCTTCCAAAATAAAGTTTTTGTTTGTTTGTTTGTTTGTTTTTTTATTTTTATTATGAAGTTGTGGGGTACAGTTAAGGGTTAGGTATACAATTGCGTTTCATTCAGGCACCCTGTTGATATGGGGTGTTTCCCTGTTCCCAGACAGATATTTGCTACTGTTAATCCCATCTCCCTCCCCCCACCATAGTTTCTCAGTACGGTCAGTCATTTTCGTATAGCCAAAATAAAGTTTTACTTGAATTTCACATTTGCAGGCAATGCCAGCTTTTAAAACTTTTCCTTCTCCTTTCTCTCCTCTGTTATTTGTTCGTCACTTTTTTTTTTATCCGTTAAAATATCAGTAAATGTTTGGGCTTGGTTTCTCTATAGGACTGCTGGTTTCTACTCAAATCCATATTTACCTCCCCCTTCTTTTGTTTTCTTTTTTTGGTAACAGAACACCTATTTTATTTGGGTGTTGATGTGACCAGTTAAAAGATTCTATTTTCCAACCTCCTTGTAGTAAAGTGAGATTGTACTTTTTTTTTTTCTTGAGTCAGGGTCTCAGTCTGTCACCTAGGCTGGAGTGCAGTGGCACAATCACAGCTAACCACAGCCTCGACCTCCTAGGCTCAGGCGACAACAGGACCATGCCACCACACCCAGTTAATTTTTTGAATTTGTATAGAGATGGGGTCTCACTACATTGTCCAGACTGGTCTTGAACTCCTGGACTCAAACAGTCCCTTCACCTTGGCCTCTCAAAGTGCTGAGATTACAGGTATGAGCCACCATCCCCAGCTAGGATTATACTTTTTAAGTTTTAGCAAAATACGTGGGGCTTGCAGGAAAACTGCATGAAAGATGCTAATTCCATGGGGTGGGGTGGGTCCTTCTGCCCCTCCACCATTTCTCTTTAGTCAGTCATACTTCCTAGAATGTAGGTGTGATGGTCAGGGCTCCGGCTGCCATCTTAAATCATGAAGTGACTTTGAGGATGGAAGCCACAGTGTGAAAGGACAAGACGATGAAGTGAGGTTGCAAACAGAGAAATGCTATCTCTGGTCTTCTTTTATAGGAGAGAATTAACTGTATGCATTTGACATGCTGTTGCCCAATCTCTTTTACTAATCAAATATTCTGAATGTTCAAAAGTTTTTGTCTGATGGCAGAGATGGAAATTTGGACCTTAAAATGCAGTGAAACAATCAACAGTCCTGACTCCTTCATTTCCTTCAAATTTTCCTCTCATTCTCCAATCTCCCCTCTTCTCCCACGTATTTCTACCGCATGTTCTCATCATGGTTGACTTGCCTGTGGGATTTTCATTGTGCTTGATTGCTTCATATTCTTGCAATTGATGAAATGTCAGTAACTTTTCTAATCCCAAACCACTAGACTGTCAGAACCAAGAGCAAACACAAAGCAGAGGAGGAGGGCCCAACCAAAAAGATGCTTTGGGGGTTACCATAGCTAATATCTCATTATTTGAATACGTCAGAGATCCAAGAACATTGAGTTGATCTTTCTAGAGAGTGACAGCGTTTGTTTTAGATGGGCAAATTTAAAAAAGGGAGTGAGTCCCAGAGGAGAAGGACATGGAAGGTGGCATTGGAGAGTGGACAATTTATGGAAGCGATTGTCCTCGTCACCAAACCATTCTCATTTATTAACATGGCTAAGGGTTGTGAAACATGTGCAAAGACAAGAGATGTGTTCATCAGACTTTAATCAAAGCTTTCATGCTGAGGGTGAATCACAGCACAGAACATCCTGCTCGACGTAAAGGGTTGGGTGGGAAACCGGGGCTAACTCTTCTCCTTGCTACCAGCCCAGAAATGGTGGGTGGGGAAATTGGAGGAGAGATGTGTGGCGGGGGACGGTGTCTGGAAGGATTGGTAGAGGTAGCTATGGAGATGGGGTGAGGGGAAGAGTCTTGGGGACACCTTTCCAGGTGTTACATAAGTCAATAGGGCTTCTGGGAAAGGAATGCTCCTTATGGAACATGCTCCTTGTGGTCCTCTCTGAAGTGGAGCACATGAGTGTGGCCTTCCTGCCTCTTTCTCTTTTTCCTTCTCTGACCCCCTTCTAATTTCCTCCCTCCCTCGCCTCCTTCCTATACAACAAATGAACCTTTCCTGCTCCCTGAGTCCACTGCGACCACCCCTCTGCTTGATAGTCTTCTCTCTGTAACCCACCCTCCATGGCCGATTTCCTTCCTAAAACACACACTCGACCTCCACCTGGCTCCACAGAGCCTAGAGGAGCCATCCATGTCTCTTTAGAGGCGCCCTCAAGGCTCTGCTCCTTCTGATCTAATTTACCTGTCATCTATTCCCTTCTTCCCCAACATCTCCTCACCCACCCTGTACTTTTGCTGCTACAGCTCCAAGAAACTTGTTAGTTTTCCCCTAAAAACACATAATCTCTTGGCTGTTCTGTCTTCCTAAAACGCCCTTCCCTCTTCTTTACCAGGAAACTCCTTTTCCTTTGTCAGCACAGAAAAAGAAATGCCAGGACACCATCCACCCTCCCAGACAGGATAATTCTGCTGCTGCCGGCCCTTCTTCCTGGCTAGACTGGACCGCTGGAGAGCAGACACCCACTATTGCCTGGCCCGTGGTGGGTACTCAAGAGATGATGAAAAGAAAGGTCCTGTAGCATGTGCTCCCATTTATATGAAATGTCCAGAATGGGCAAATCCATAAAGACAGAAAATGGTGGTTGCCAGGGCGGGGGGAGGGAACTGGAAGGTATAAGCCTTCTTCCTGGGGGAAGGGAATTGTTCTGGTATTAGATAGTGGTGACAGTCCCACAATATTGCAAATATACTGAAAACTACTAAATTGTACACTTTAAAATGGTCGCAGTGGTGAATTTTATGTTATATGATTTTCATCTCAATATATTTTTGTAAAAGAAATGTTAAATAAAATTTAGAGGAAGCCATTAATTTGGATTGAGCCTCTGAGGTAGGCCCCAATAGACCAAGCCAAAATGGAGTCACTGGTGCTAAAGCTTCAAATGACCAAACTGAAACTAAGTTGTTTATCTGACCTTGCAGGAGATTGGGGGGGCGGGAAGAAAGGGAGAGAGAGGAGAGAATACAAACAGAGAATACAAACAAGCAAATCCCCAAACAGGCCAGTTTTAGCCCTCATGATAGACAGTTCCCTCTGCTTTAACCCTTACAAGGAAAGGAGCCTGGAGTAACCTGACGCTACCCAATGGGCTTTTCTTTGCCGTTTCTGATTTCTTCTGCCTCTTCTGCCTGTGAAACCAACCTCCCTGCTCAGTTCATCAGAGTGACCTCTGTTTAAGGAGCTGCTATTCCAATTCATGAATCACAAATAAAAGCCAATGAGGTCATTTAGCTAAATGTCTTGTAACCTTGTCTTTTGACAGAAATGATGAAACAATGAAGAAATAATAAAATTCTCTTCTTTATTTTCTAATTCGATTTTATCCTGGATCCTTTCCCCATTCTTAAGCGACTCCCCCATCGGCAACCACTGTAATTCAGATGAAAGTATTTACCCAATCACAGACCACATCCAAATTATCACCAAACACTGGTGAGCAATCTTGAATGAATGGGGCTTGTTTCTTCTGCTGTTTGTCTTTTTCCGGTTCCAGTAGAAGCTCTGAAGGGGGAGGATGCTGTCTAGACCTGATGCATGTCGTCTCTAATCCATCCAACTGTCCACCTTGCTAGAGACCAAATTTGGACTAATCCCTGCAAAACAGAAGCCAGCTAAGAGAAAAGGCATCATTAGGCTTGTAGTCTGACTGTGATAAAAATAACTTTTCAAAGCCCTTCACACACATGGGCTCATTTATTCATCATGAGAACTATGGAGTGGGGGAGGGTGCCTTTTAATGGAGAAAGCAAGCTTTGGATCTGCCCTCACTAGTGGGTAGTCTGAGGTGACGAACTGGGTCCTTCTGACCTGTTGGTCATTTCTGCTGGATAAGGAGAGAGAATGGGCTGGACTTTCTCTGTGTGTGGATTGAACTTGTTACTCTCATCTTTGCCTGAGTACAACCCAGCCTCCTGGGACATCAGAAAACACTAGGAGGTACAGGCATTGAAGATACCATTGTGGCCACTTCAAGAGAGAATGACAAAGACAAGCCCTAATTAATGAAGTCACCATGGCGACTCCATTTCAGACAATTGACTCAAGTTCCAGTCTTCAGTCCCCAAAGACCTATGAGATAGCTATTAAGTGTAACTTACAGGCTGGGGTCCATGCCTCACGCCTATAATCCCAGCACTTTGGTAGGCCAAGGCAGGAGAATTGCTTAAGCCCAGGAGTTTGACACCAGCCTAGGCAGCACAATGATACCTAGTCTCTACAAAAAACAAAGCAAAACAAAACACAAAACTAACTGGGTGTGGTGGCATGCACTTGTAGTCCCAGCTACTCAGGAAGATGAGGTGGGAGGATCACTTGAGCTCAGGAGGTTAAGGCTGCAGTGAGCCGTGAGAATGCCACTGCACTCCAGCCTGGGCAACAGAGCAAGACCTCAACTTAAAAAAAAATTATTAGAAGTGACACCCCTTCACCCCAAGACATCCCAAAATCCTTGTAACCAGATAGTTCTCAACTGAGAAACTTAAATCCTAATAGGAAAAAGTCGAGTTGAGGAACCAATTAATTTATGAGAATTTTTGTAAACATTTTCTCATGCATTGATAAGAAAATTCTCACTAGGCACAGTGGCTCACATCTGTAATCCTAGCCTGAGCGACAGAGAGACTCCGACTCAGAAAAGAAAAGAAAATTGCCACTCATATGATCAACGACATTATAGACAAATGATGTTAATATTCCTTGTGAGCTAACATTTTCATAGCACGTACTGTATTGCAAGCACTATTTTAAGTACTTTAGATAGATGAATCCATTTAGTCGTTACAACAATGCTACAAGTAGATTACTATTGTCCTCACTTTATATGTGAGGAAATTGAGCCCCAGAGAGGCTGCATAATTTTCTCAGGCTTGCACAAGCAGCAAATGGCAGAGCTGGGGAACTTGAACTCAGGCCATCTGGCTCCAGAGTTTGTTCAACCAATGGAGTCCACAGGTTAGTGACACAGGCAGCCCACGGCAACATGCGGTTTGCCCGGAAATGTTTACAGTTGAGGACACACTCACACAGAGGCAAGTGTGTATTTAGTAGTATTTCACAGAAGGGTAACTTGTGATTGTAAAAAGCTTTCTGTTGTGCCGTTTGGGTTTTTTCCCCCAGAGACTACATGGACTATTTTCATGTGCTTGTGAACTGGCCAGTTAAGGGGTCTGGCACTGCAGGAAAGCGACTGTATTCTTCACTTGCTTCCCGTCCCCTCTCCAGTACACTGAATTTTTCCATGTTCAAAAGGACCTCAAATCACTTCCCTGTCCTCCAGAGAGAAGTGCCCTGTTTCTTAAGCAAAGAGCTAGACACAGATGGTTAATTAAATTTTCAAGGAAATACGCAAAGGCTCCCTTAGTTCCCTGAGGTGGGGGTCAGCCCAAATTCTTTTTTTTAAAAAAAGCATTAGAGAGACTTAGCAGATTTTGAGTGTAAGTTGGATGCTTGCCCGACTTGTGCCCACACAGAGGGCCTGGTACCCACATGCTCCCTGTGCCACCCCAACTCCTACCTCCTCACTTCCGGAGAAGCCCAGAGACTGGAGTAGTTCATCTAGGCCCAGGATCTGAGTGTGGATGGGTGGTGGGGTCCCTGAGGTGGGTCATTCTCGACTTTAGAAGACAGATGCCTTCTGGAATAAATGCCGCTGGCGGGCATATCTCTCAGTCAATCCATTACCAAGCTTATAATCAGCTCTGTAGCAGTCCTAATCGTGTGTTCTGGGAAGGAAGACCCTGGGGAGGGCACAGTAGCTCCAGATGAAGGACTTAGGCTCATGCGTGACAGAAGTGGCAGTCCTCTACAAGGGGAAGGGGCAGGTTTTCTCTCTCTCGCCAGCTCTATCCTCCTGGTCCAAAATTCATTATTCAGCATCAAAATAAAATTCCAGGTCCAGCACAGTGGCTCATGCCTGTAATCCCAGCACTTTGGGAGGCAGAAGCAAGAGAATTGCCTGAGTCCAGAGGCTTGAGACCAGGCTGGGCAACACGGTGAGACCTCTTTTCTACAATAAATCAAAAAATTAACTGGGCGTGGTGGCACACACCTGTAGTTCCAGCTACTTGGAAGGCTGCGGCGGGAGGATCGCCTGAGCCCAGCAGGTTGAGGCTGCGGTGGCCGTGAGCGTGCCACTGCACTCCAGCCTGGGCGACAGAGTGAGATTCTGACCCAAAAAATATTCCAGAGGCTCAGCTTGTTCTGGCCTAGCAAGGGCCATTAGATGGTTGGAGGGGCCACAGTGAGGGGGATTACTTAGGGATCTGAGTAACCAGTGGTGGTTACTTAGGGATCTGACCATGCTTTCTCATTTGGAAGAGGACACGTGGTCCAACCCACATGGGGTTTTGGAGCAGATGACTGGAGATCAGGGCTGTGCCAGGGAACCCGAGACCTAGAGTCAGGCCCACATTCCTGCTGTATCCTTCAAAACCGTCTCAGCCGGAGGAGAGGGAAGGAGAAAGGGAAGCCTCACTTTCCGGAGTCCTGGTGTGGATTGACTGTCTCTGCCCACCCAGCTCCGTTGCCTTTGGGGGAATATCTCCTCCCCTGTCTCAGTTCTTCTGGGTTGGGTGGGGCAGGTCCTATGAGGCTCACTCAGACCCGCTTGCCGCAGGGGCGGGCCAAGGCCCAGCCTGGCCAATCAATGCCTTCCATCAGCCTGGCTTCAGGGATTGGCTCAGGCAAATGAGACTCAGACTGGGTACTTTTGATGGATCCACTGGGAAAAGGGAAACTCTCCTTCCATGGGGCTCCCTGGCTCTAGGGATAAAGTCTGAGTGGAAGGTCCAGAAACCAGCATGTGGCCATACCTGCCCAGTGCGAGGCAGAACTGAGGGCTGAGGGAGATAGAGACCGAGTCTTGACGAAATCCTTCGAATGCCTGGATTTGGAGGGAAGCCTACAAATTAATCGCAGGGCGCGGTGGCTCAAGCCATTAATCCCAGCACTTTGGGAGGCGGAGGTGAGAGGATTGCCTGAGCTCAGGGGTTCGAGACCAGCCTGAGCAACATGGTAAGACCTCATCTCTACAATAAATCAAATAAATTAGTCAGGCATGGTGGCACATGCCTGTGGTTCCAGCTACTTGGAAGGCTGAGGCGGAAGGATTACCTGAGCCCAGTAGGTCGAGGCTTTGGTGGCCGTGAGCATGCCATTGCACTCCAGCCTGGGCGACAGAGTGAGACTCTGACTTAAAAAAAAAAAAAAAAGCTAATCATTTTAGGTCAGGCGCAGTGGCTCACGCCTATAATACCAGCACTTTGGGAGGTGGAGGTGAGAGGATTGCCTGAGTCCTGGAGTTCGAGACCAGCCCGGGCAACTTGGTGAAACCTCGTCTCTACAATAAATCAAAAAATTAGCCAGGTGTGGTGGCACGCGCCTGTGGTTCCAGCTACTTGGTAGGCTGAGACGGAAGGATTGCTGGAGCCCAGCAAGTCGAGGCTATGGTGGCTGTGTGCGTGCCACCGCACTCCAGCCTGGGAGACAGTTGAGACTCCCACTAAAAAAAAGTAATAATAATTTTAAAGCAACCAAATTTGTGATGTGCAGCACATTCACAATGTTGTGCAAACACCACCTCTAGTTCCAAAACACTTTCATTACCCAAGAATGAAACCCTGTGCTGATTAAGCAGTTACCACCCATTCTTCTTCCCCTCAACCTCGGTAACTGCCAGTCTCCTCTCCATTTCTATGAATTTGCCTGTTCTGGATAGTTTGTATAAATGGAATCATACGATATGTGTGGCCTTTTGTGACTGCTTTCTTCATCTTTGCATGATGTTTTTGAATTCATCCACATTGTAGCATGTGTCAGTACTTCATTCTCTTATGTGGACATGTCATATTTTGTTTATCCATTCCTTTTTTTTTTTTTACCAAAAATTCTCAGCCGGGCTCGGTGGCTCAGCCTGTAATCCCGTGCCTTTGGGAGGCTGAGGTGAGCGGATTGCCTGACCCCGCGGGTTCGAGACTCGCCTGGGCAGCAAGACCTCATCTCTACAATAAATCAAAAAATCAGCCGGGCGTGGTATCTCA